TGGCCTGCATATTCCTGTCACTGGCATCTATCAGCAGCAACTCCTCAGAAAGGCACCAGACCCAACTCATGATCCTGACCCAACCACTGGTGTTTTACTGGTATTTTTGCGAGAACGTTTAACCAAATTTGCGAATTGGTGGGAGGTCATGTGTTCTAGGTTTCGAACACAGCCCTAAAATTTGGAAATACTTATTCCATCAGTTGCCTCAAAACATTGATAGAAGCAGAAATTCAGAGCAAATGTTTCTCTCTGATCTTTGTGGAAGCCCTAGAGTAAGCACTTTCAGACAGGAACCCTTATCTCTTGCACAGCAGAGATTCTTGTTCAGTTAGAGCTACACGTTTGTTTGTTTGCTTTGAAAAATTAGATTTCCCCTGAAAAGTGAAGGTTTAAATGAAGAAAAAAAATATTTATAAAACTTAAAAACCAGGTTCAAGAACCTCTGTACTTAAAGCAAGTTTTAACGGTTTTAAAAATCCATAAATACCATGGGGTTCTTGCACTCCTAATTATGAATGTTTAGATTTTGGTGTTCATTTCCTCTGATTGAAATACTACAGGATGAGTTATTCATCCAGTATATACAGGGTCATGGAACTTAATCCCCTCCATTTATTTTAAGTGAATGTCATGTTTGTAAAAAGTGCCAGATTGACAGACCAGATTCAACCCTTCTGATAACCTACACTTTGTATCTAAAGCTGTTTAGAAGTAAAAACTCTTGCAGTTAAAACTATTGGGTCAAGTTCTTCACAGATGAAAGGGATGAAAATCAGAGGTTTTGTTTTGTTTTGGGTTTGGTTTTTTTTTTGTTGTTGGTTTTTTTTTTGAGTAGCATAGTTTTAAATCACACAATATGAGGTTTTCTCTATCCCCTCTTCTTTTAATTTGGGTCAGAGGAGGCCTTTGACTGCTTTGTGGGTATGGCTCAAACCTCCTCTGAAGCAGAACCATGCTCTGTGCTGGACCAGTTCCTACCCATCTCAGTGCCGCCTCCTTGGCTGAGAGTACCTATTGGCATCCATAGAATCATGGGTTTGAGTGGTAAAGCTTTGTAGCAGTGGAACAAAAATAAGAATGATTCACCAATTCAGTGAGGCAGCGACAACAGCTTTCCAGTGTTGTTGGCCTCTGACATGTTGCAACTGGTGATCCCTAAACAACTGCCTCCACATCCTACCCTCAGTAGCTTTCTCACATTCTAAATAGATGCTATAAAACCAACTGTTATCACAGCTGTATTTTGAATAAGTGTGTGTGTGTAAAAGAATTGTTCTGGCTGTTATAAATTAGGATAGGTATTGTTTTAAATTAAGCTTTTACAAAAACTCACTAATCTTTAGTCAAGTCCCATATGTTTTATCAACAAATATCCAAGCAGCACCTCCAGTATAATTCAATAAAAAACTTGGGCTTCTCCAATAATTATAGTTCAGAGACTTTTATTTTACTTTGTGCCATAAGGCCATGGAACATGTGCGATTGGATTAAATATTTATCAACAATGCCTGTTGATAAAATATTTATCAATAATGTCTGCATTACTGTGAGCTGTTCAGGAGCTCAGATTTGCCTCAAATCATGCAAAGTGATCCATTTCTGATTGCTGAGGAAGTCCTGGCAACCTTGTCTGTAGGAGCTACAGGAGACTGGGACAGGGGCTCGAACACTGGTGGACCAGCAAAGAGATGCCTTGTCGGCACATTGCCTGGTACAGACTTAGTCTGTGTCCACTGGCACATAGCCAGACAGCGCCCCATTGTGAGGCTGGTCAGGGAACAGTCCAGGGACTCTGCCTGACAGGCTGTGTGGATAAGGCCACCCCAATTCTGGCAGAAGAGAGGTTAGCTATGGGGCTGAGTGTTGCATGGTGCTGCTCATCTTCAGGGCCGAAGATTTTGTCCTAGTCTGTTTTATTTACCTGTACAGACAGAGTCATCACCTCCATGGATATTTTTTTTTTTTCCTGGACACACATTGTATACAGAAGGAAGTAATTTCCTGAGTACCAAAATTTGCATTTCTCTACCCATATACTCTTAGCCTGTGGTGGTGGGATGGGGAGAGGTGCTTGACAAAGTGATTACATCAAGTGGTATTTTGACTTAGCATAATGCAACACTATGCACAGATTTGAAGGATGCACTTACAGTTGTGTTCTTCCTCAAATGAGAGTCTGTTAGAGCATTTGCCTTTTCTAAAGAGCAGCTCCAAGAGGAAGTGCCTAGAGCTTGGAGAGCATCCTACAAATACATTGGAATGGGCTGCCCAGAGAGGTGGTGGATTCACCATCCCTGGAGATTTTTAAACGCAGATTGGACGTGGCACTGAGTGCCATGATCTAGTAAATGGACTGGATTTGGACCAAGGGTTGGACTTGATGATCTCGGAGGTCTTTTCCAACCCAATCGATTCTATGATTCTATGATTCTACAGCATGGCAGTCTGTACAGCATATGGGAAACATTTTCTGTTCTCTGTAGCAGAGTTCTGGCTTTTCCCATCCTTTTCTGTGGTGGAGGGCAGCAGTAACAACACAGGAAACTGGAGGTACATGTGCACCCTTTGCAGCCTAGGAGGAATCTTTTCAAAAGCACAATCAAGGGTTCATGGGACATGACCACTCATAGCGAGGAATCCTACTTAAAATGGGGCTTCCAGACACAACCTTGAGCCCACTGCTTGGTAACAGGCTCCTTGTCAGTGGGAAAGCCTGAGGAACAGGACAGTTTCTCAGAGTCCAAAAAAAACCTTCTGAGTTTCCAAGGCTGGAGGTTTGTGCTGTCTGAATGGCTATGAGGCTTCAGGGACTTGCCCCATGTCTTTTCTCCTTCCAGTACCCACCCCTTCAGGGTTTCTGTACTTCTCTGTGCAGAATATGTTTGGTTGTGGCTCTTGATAACCCAGTGTTACAACCGGCTTTAGTGGCTCTATTGCCTCTGTGCAAAGCTTTTTGTTGGTGCTTGTTAAAAAAAAACAGAGAGGTGCTCATTCTTGTTTCATGTTTACACATTGGAAGAGGCAGTGAGCTTGGAGATTGGCAGCTTTTTAGGGCTTGTCACATTTTTTACTTTCCAGTGAATTCAATGAAGTAATTTTCCATGTGATTCAAGAATTGTACTGATTTACAGTGCAATTATTTTCAGGTTTATATTAATTAGTATTGTTGCAAACTCTGATATTTAGAGCTGAGGCTAAAGCATAATTCTGAGACACAGTAGGGTACATGTAATTAGAGTTGAAGGTCAGATGACATATTTGGATTTTCAAAAGGATAAGGCAAGTTCAGCTTCAGCAAAGTGTTTATGGATTTCGAATGACAATTATGTTGCTGCTGCAGCTCTATGCTTTGTACTGATTAATATTCCTATTGGAGGCTTGTGGCTGGGATTCCATTACTGTTTCCTGCTGTTTTAGATTGCTGTACAGCAGAATTAGTGCTTAGTTTTCCATGTGACGATGAGAGGATAGTCCAGCCAGCGGAACTGGCAAAGTTTATTGGTTACATTGAGTTACCTTACTAGGAAACTCATGACCCTGAAAACAGGCCAATGCCCTTTATGAAGGTAAATACTGGAATTTTCAGGCAGGTGCAATCCAGATAGGAATTGAACAAGTGAAATGTTAATACCATGTGAAGTTTTAGCAGACACAAAGATCTGTTTCATTTCTTAACTTTGCACTATTCAGGTTAGGTCCACTTGTACCGGGTGATTAAAAATGGCAGATAACTACAGGATTTGCTAACTCAATACCTCTTCTTTCATATTCAGACAGGAAACGTTTCCGAGAAAAAATGCCACCCCAAATCCTAAAACAAACACTAAACAAATTGAAACTTAAGCAAGATAAATGATCTTTGTTTGTACCTGTTGTGCTGAAGAAACATTTACAGGGTGTGAAATAAACCACCATACACTTTTTAGTTAAATAAAGAGTCATTAATTGTGAAATCCTACTGTGGCTGACTGAAGGACTCTCCCTTCTCTATTTAAATAGAAACCCTTCTCCCCAGCCTAAGGAAGGACCTAGGAAAATAGCTTACAGGAAAGGACCCAGTCCCGCAATTGTTTTTTACACAGAAGCCCTATTGAAACCAGGAGGAGCTATGAGCAAAGAACATGTCAAAGTTTTTATTCCAAGTACCTATAAAATATATTTTTAAGACATCATCAATAATAATACTACTATTATAGTTCTACCTCATGCTCTGAACAAACAGCTAGCTACCCAAGAGTTTAAGATGTACACACTTCCCCCAGCTGCTGATTACCTCTTCACTCCAGGGAGTGCTGCTTTGGGATCTGTGCCTGCACCTGCCTGGGGCAGCTCAGGGCTGAACCCACCCTCTTTCAGTTCCAGGATGGATGAGGCACTAGGATGGATTAGTTTCTTCTTCTGCTGGTATGTCGGTGGTCACTGCACACTCAGCTTAAACTGCCACTGCACTATCCAACAGGGCCTGCAACAGTGGCCAAAATTACCTGTGCAAAATTTGGGAAAAGTGGGTAAATATTGCAGTCCACCTACTCTAACCCATGGGACTCATTGCCAAATGGATTAAGGTGCTTAGTGAGATAGAGGGGAGAAACTCATCACAAATCCCTCCAGCAGTAACTCTCAAATATAATGATTAGATGCAACCATGGACTTTTAGGAGTCTGTGAACAACAGCTTGCGGGAAGATAGGCAGGCATACAAGGGTCTCTCTCAGCAGTTCCTACCCTGCTCTCGGTGTATGTTCCTTAAACATCTGCTGCTGGTCGTTGTCTGAGACAGGTTACTGGGAGCAGTGTGAAGTGCTGATTGCAGTGCGGTATCTGGTCTTAAAAGCAGAAGGGGCCACTGAGCCCCTGAAATTCAGGGGAATGGTTACGGGTTGCTCTCTGAGTGACCCTACTCGCCCTAGTTTTTGTACAAAGCCCCAGCAGCATCTGAGGGCAAATCTGATGTGTCTTACTCTCTCAGAAATGTTTTTCTCTTCTGTCTCCTTTCAGGCACCCAATGGCCTCCCAGCTGTCAGCAGTTTTGTGTCGGCACCAGCCATGCCTCCCTATGCCACACCAGCCCAAGTGTCACCTTACATGACGTACAGCGCCACTCCATCTAGCTATATGGCAACCCATGGCTGGCAGCACGCTGGAGGCACCCCGTTGTCCCCTCACAGTTGCGATATCCCTGCCTCGCTGGCGTTCAAGGGCATGCAGACAGCCAGGGAGGGGAGCCACTCTGTCACAGCCTCTGCTCTCTGATGCAGGAGTCCAGGACCACAACGAGCTTGCTGGCTTGTCATCCCCTGAGCCTAGCTCACAGACTGTTCTCTTTGTGCTGGTGATACCTGGCATTTCTCCTCATGACTTGTCTCCTGTAAGACTTTTGGGATAGCAAAAGCTGAAGACAACATCAGAAAGTGAGAGAAGTGTGGTGTTGCGCTCTTAAAGACCTTGTGTCCCTCAAAGGGCTCATGGAGCCTTGTCCCACTCTCTCCTGGTCAAACCACAGATATTTATTCTTAATCACCACAAACTTTCTAAATGTGCAATTGTTATTTAGATTTGTGTAAAAATCAATAAAGAAAAATCACCACAGAAAATTCTGCTATGCCTTGAATCAGCAAAGGTGCCTAAATGGGAGGTGTTTGCTGATTGCCTAGAGAACAACCCTTTTGTTGATGAGATTATACAATGCACTGTTATTAAGAGGTCATTTTTGGTTGTTTTGTCGGGTTTTGGTAATCAAATATAGAACTAAGGCAGTAGGTGGCTCTCAGATTCTTCTGTCATGTCGCCATCATCAGGCAGTAGTAATAACTTTGTGATTTGTAAATATAGGCTTTTGACAGCATTTGTTTTCACCTTCCAGTACATTTCTCTTTCTCTCTGCCTCTCTCTTTTTCTCTTTCTCTCTTTCTTTCAGTTAAAAAGGTGATTTCTAGCTATTTTCTGTGTCTTTGCAGGGTGAGGTGATAGCCTCAGGTGATGAGGCTTAGGTAGGATTTTTTCATCATGGTTTTGTGCCTACAGTGGAGGCTTCAACATCTCATGAAATAGTTATCTCTTTGTCAGAAGATGCAAAGGCAGAAATCCAGCTAAGTAACTCTCCACAGCTATACCCAGTCTCCCAACTTCACAAAACACCATATTCAGGTGAAGAGTACAAAACAGAAATGGGTGGAAAATACCTGAGCGAAACTGAAGACTGTAGAGAAAAATGCTGTTAGCATGCAACCTGTGCAGAGATGCGTACAAAGCCATGTTAGTCAACAAACCCACTGAAAAACCGAATTGTACCGTAATTCTCAGCTCACTTGTGTTCAGCTTTTTCGGCCCCAAGAATACGTTGTAATTTTTTAAAGAGGAAGTTGTCTTTAATTTCTGCTTTAATGAATGTAAAATATGGCTCTTGGTAAAGTTTACATAGTTGTTCTGAAGCATTTTTTTCCCTTATAGATATACTGGTGGTGGTGCTACAAACACAGATATTATTTAATATTAGCAAATTCCCTTTCTACATTTCTGTATCCAGTGGCAAGTACTCTGTGCCAGTTATTATGCTTTAAACTTTAATCTCAAGAGAGCAAACGTTCTGATCTTTGAAAATTTACTTGTTTTCCTTGGGCAATAATAAAGTTCTGACTATTATTATGCTTTCCCCATGCTGTAGGTATGTTCAGAATATGAATGTGGAAAAAAAAAAGCCTGGTGTGACATTTCATTCTTCACAGAATATTAATATATTGTGTATTTTTATAAATATTTTTCAATAACTGAAATTACACTAGACATAGTTAAAGCAAAGGAGAAAATATCATTCTTCATATATTGTTCTATCTGCAAACCACGTTAAACCTTAATTCAGTGGGAAAGTAAAATACAGTCCCCTCTTAAAATGCAGTCCTCTGTGGATTTCCAGCTTTCATCACCAAGATAGCTGTGCGTAAATTTTCATAACAATCTTAGTAACCAGTACTTATGTCATACACAGTATGTCCACTAAAATATAGATAGACTCAGCTGGCTGCTGTCACCTTTGCTTTTTGCATTAAAAAAATAGTTAACGGAACTGCATTTCTATAAAGAACACAGGTATTGTATTCTGGCCCCAAGGAAAGAAAATCTGATCTTGGATGCTCATTCATGTTCTTCAGTCTCAAAGGCATTCAACAGCTGTTTAACTTTAATGAGATGCTGAAACCCTTGTTATTCAACTGAACACTTTTTCAAGAATGTTTCTCTGAAACCACTAAAGGCAATATGCACACAAGTGCATTTCCACTCTGCCACACTCTTAGTGACATGATGGATGTTATTCTGCCTTTATGCCATTATAGCAGAAATAAGATGAGCCTTAACACCATGAGAAAGACATTGGTTTAATTCTAGACAAGCTCTTCACTAAAAATAAAACAGGGAAAAAAAGAAGATAAGAAAAAGATCATGAATAAATAAGTGATTAAGTTGGCAACCTTGTTGTTTTACTGGATTATAGAATTATTGGGTAAGTCTTCCTATTGTTATTCATGCAAATCAAAAAAGGGATTTCAAAGAGAAAAAAAAAAAACAGAAAAAGGAAGAGAAGCCTTCCATAGCACAGCTTTTTTAAACTTTAAGAATTCGCAAGTCTGTAACAAAGTGTGCCTGCATTAAAAATTTTCCAAATTTTTCTGAGTAACATGCGGTCATTTCCAGAATAAAAGTTATCTTTCCTGACATTCTCATGGGATATTAGTGTGTTTTGGGAGAGACAGATCATTAGCTTGTATGAGTTGTTTGCACTATCTTCTCTTCAGCTAAATCAGGGTAATTTATACAGCAAGGACAGGACATGATGTTAATTATTCCTCACATGGGAATACATCATCATAAACAATTTTGTTTTGTGTTTGTTTAGGTACAGCTTTCTGCGCATCTGCCTGCTGTACATGACACCTTACCCCTGAATGGGAAGTCAGTGGGGCTGTGTGCAGAAAGTGATGCTCAGAGTGAGCAAAAGTACCTGACCTTGGCTCTTTGTGAACTGCCTGTGACAGTTTATTTTTGCGTGAATTTTCATAAATCTTTTAAAAAATGTAAACCTATGATGCAGAATACTTCTTTGCACAAGGAATTTTTTCCTTGCTTATACTCATGGGTAAACTGAAAACTGCAACATATCAGCTTACTAGCCACACAACTTTAAGCCACTTTACATTAAATTAAAGAGAAAAAAGGAATTGTTTTTCAAAAAATAATAAACGAGGCTTAAATACTGTTGTCAAATACAAGGGTATAAATTTGGAGTGAACCCACAGAGGTCAATGGATGCATTTGGGAAATATGCAGTATATGTGGGTGCAGAATTTAAGTTTTTAATCTGAAAAGTCTACACTTCATTCCCAGAGTGTCAAATGTTTTCAAAGAAATCAGTGAAGCCTAACAATACTCCCTCCTATGACAGCCAAACTGTGTTTGCATGGTCCTTTGGTGTAGAACTGAATCACAGCCCATATTACACCAGGGGTAATGGGGGATTGGGCTGGCATGCTCATAGGTTAGTTTTCCAAGCCCATGATGTTTTCTGTTTTCTAATTGTTCTCATTTTATCAAAGATCAGGCTGAGCTATTAACTGAAAAAATCATGTTGGAAAGGATGTAAAACTGAAGGCTATATATGTATATACAGTATGTTTAAAGCATTTTATTTTTCTATTTTGAATGCTCTAAATTAATAAAAGACAAATTATGAAGCATTTGGCTTTAGTTTTTGAAATTATCTTTGTAGTGTCTTCTCTTTGGCTAAATACTGCTAATGAAATACAACAACAAGGAACATTTGCCTTAAAACTGTAAACCTAAACAGAGTTAATTTTATTGATTTTAGCTATGGAGTAGCATAGGTATGAGAAGCCCCTGTTGCCAAATTCAGACAAAAAAGAGGTTTATTGAGCATGTCAATACAGGCATCCTTGAAAGTGCTGAAAATGCATTTCTATTTTTAGGTTTTTTTTGCTTTTTTAATGCACTAAAAACCCCTGTGAGATGAGACTTTTCACATGAACTGTCATTTTCAAGTAACAATGTGGAAAGATATTTTTTTAGCAGGTTTGTACCTCGTTAAGAGAAAGAACGATTAAAATTAACAGTGTGAATGTAGCATGAGGAGTTACAGAAACTTTCAGCAATTACAAGATATATACTCATTTGACAACCAACCAAGTTATATAATGGGAACACTTTTATAACAGAATAATGTGTAATTTTAAGTTATTGAAAGAGTTCTTTTAAAAGAAAATGTAGAATGGCACAACTGCATGAGCAGAAACCATATTTTCAGTCAGCATAACAGAATTTACTGTATTTTACAGAGATATTTATAATGTCTAGTAAAGACATGAGTACATCTCTGAAATATTATTTATATTTACAGTGACTGGGAAAAGTAACAATTCTAGCATTTTTTTATCTACGGAAAAGTACATTTCTTTGAGGTGCACAGCTAACTAATTACAACTGCGTGTGTGTTATCAGTCGGGAAATTTTTTCACCACCCCATGATGGAAATGAAAGGCTAAAGGGGCAGTCAGGGTGCACTGAGCACTTTTATCACAGGCCAGATCTTTTAGCAATAGTATATGATGGTGGATAAAAAATTCACAGTAAAATTTCATATGCCTGAAATTACTTTTTTCTGCTTATTTGTTTACTCATTTCTTCTACGAGTCCCATGTTGTTTTGCATTTTTTACGTAACTTGATTCAGACTAATTATTTTCAGTATCTTCTGTGGCCTGAATGAGATTTCTACAATATAGGAGCAAGTAGGATATTTAATGGTATGCGTATTTTTAAGGTTGTGGCTGTCCTTTTCCTATCTGAACTCCCAACAACTTAAAAAGTTCTTCTATGACTGCTGAAATCACACTGGGCTAACTGAAACTGGACCCAAGATTACTCGAGAGCTGCAGAGTATGGGTCATGTTCTTAATGTGGAGTTAATGGAGCTGTCAGTTTATACTAGCTTAGTATCTGGTCCCCCAGGATTATTCATTTTTTTTCTTGAAAATCCCCTGAATGTTATTATCTTGCTATTTCAGTTGAAACTTTTAAAAAAGTGTATAGCTATACAAGATGATTCTCAGACAAGAATTCCTTTAAAAACTAACTTTTCCCTATGTCTCCTTTATATTTTCTCTTGATCCAGCAAAACAATTACAAATATCAACAATGCTATTTAGTTATGCACTTACAGAAAAGCACGTGTTTAAATTTTTTCTTGGATCATGACCTGAAGACCAACTTTGCTTTGAACTTATTAACATCAGTGCAATCTGAGGGCATTCAACACCATAAAGGATAAGAATAACTTTTACTTTATTGAAGTGGATTTTAGAATGCATATAATTTTAAAGAGTACATTTTTCAGAAGTGCTACTTGTGATTAACTGTGTCCTGAAGCCATGCATAAACGTATTCGTAAATCAAAAGCATCACTGCACCACCTGGAAGAAAAGATAATATTTTACAACACAGAAAATTCAGTATTTTCAAGATTTTATAGAGCATTTGTAGTATGTAATATAAACCAGTATATGACAAAGCTTTATTTTCAAAAGAGATAATTCTACTAATTCCCTAGTACATTAAAAAGTCACAATTCTTAAACCATACAAATTTTACTTAATATTAGACCAAAAAGTTGATGTAAATAATTTCATATTAAATCAAATTCACTCTCTGTGTCATTTTTCCTAACATTTTTCTTTGTTCTTCTACAGGTGAAACTGTTAATCTGAATATGTATACATTTTTGTGTTTGTTTAGTTAGATTTGGCCATGAAAGAGCAACTTGACAGGTAGAATGACAAAAATTCATCACCAGGGTGATGAAAATGCTTCCAGGTAAGATTCAAGAAAGGTTTTCACTTGTTTATTTACCATGTCTAAAGCAGAAAATCACAGATTTGAAATGAGTGTAATATTCCTGTGCATGTACCTGGCTACAAATCCACAGGCAAAGTTTTGATCTCATGAAATGGCATTATCTACTAGAATTGATAACAGTATAAAATTCCAGCTTGAAAGCCATAAAGTATCTTTACTTTTAGTGAAGCCAGACTATAACTGGGCTGTAATTACTATATGAGCTAAAGAAAGGGACATTTCAGAGGGTATAAATATAACAAAGCATATAGAGAAGCTTCTAGTTGGAGAAGATGGGAAAAGAGAATGAGGCTGCATGAGTAAAAGGGTATTAATTGTGGGTTCCAGCACTGGGACATAAATATTTTCTTTCCTTTGCCTTTGCCTGTTGGCTCAGCTGGTGGCTTGGAGTGGCATCTCAGTCTTCTGCTGAACTGAGCTCACCTTTCTAGGGATAGGCTAAGACAACCAGGCACACAGAACTACCACATGAGTTTTCCAGTGTCATTTACCCTAAGGAACCATCATCAGACTTGAAATCCTCTATGAGCAGCAACTCACAGACAGCTAGACAGAGCAGAAATCTGCAAAAGGCTTTGACCAACAAACAAATCATAGACACAATGTCAAAGATTTGATTTGAACTCAAATTGAGGCTGATTCCAATTCTCATACTGTGTGATCTATTTGTGTATCTCCTTTTCTGTAAGCACTCAGATCCTGAAAGAACGAATTACCTTTCTGTCTCAAACCACAACACTTTCCATTCACAATGATTGTTTAATTGGAAAGTCAAATCTATATATTAGTCAATGGGACTACAAAAGTATTTAGAACGAAGTTCACACTTAACTGACTTGCTGGATCTGGGCCAGAATGCATAATCATTTGTAAGATGGAAAATTTTATTCCAAAATCTACTTTGCTGAGAGGTATTGGGAAAGCAAACCCCTGCCTTCTCTTTGTCCTGTATGTAATCTAGTATCTTTAGAGTGTCAGGGAAAAGGCTTTTAGCTCCAGAGCTCCTTTTTTCCCATCCCCACCTTCTTCCTTACCCTGCACAATAACCAGGCATAGTCTAGCACTTAGCCAGATGGATTGGATATGCAAACATTTACAGACAAACCTAATGCCTCCTTTATACTGCAGTACAGACTCTGTACCTACTTGCTTTTACCCATGTGTGTTCTTGTCTATTAAACCAACTTGCACAATTGGAAAGAATTTCGTGGGAATGGGATACTGTTCAAACTGGGGCTTCTGCTCTTTTTGACAGAGACTGACTCTGTGGGCTGGCAAAGTCTAAGGGCCCAGTGCTTTGCTTTCATGATTAATCAAAACCAGTCAGGGAAAAATACTCTAAAAGTCAAAAAAGATATAGCTCTCTACTACTGTATTCCCACATTTGGAGTAACAAGTAGTGAGAAGGGGTTAAACAACAACCCCAGTTCTAAAATATCCCTGTCCTCTTAGTCTTCCAGGCCAAACAAGTCTCTTCCCAGCTATCAGCTATCGGCTTTTTAGTGTTTCTTCTTTACACATAAAGCACAGGAGAAGAAAGTAACTGGAATTTGATATGCTTGGGCTATGCTTCGACTAG